CTGGGGCACACCCGAGACACATCTGAGGCACATCAGGGCACACCTGGGACACACCTGGGGGACAGGTGGGACACACCTGGGGCACACCTGGGGACACCTGGGGGACAGCTAGGACACACCTGAGACAGCTGGGGCACACCTGGGACACACCTGCGACACACCTGCAGATGGTCGCACCAATAGGAATGTCAGCTTCGTGAGGGCATGGCCCTGCCTGTCTTATTCCAGCACACAGTAGGTACTCAATAAAAGTTTGGAGAAGAGTGAGGAGGAAGTGAGCAGGGTGTTGGGTCCAGCTCACACACAGAAAAAGCAAAGGATCCCAAGAAAGGAAGAATGCCAGAGTGAGCAGAAGTTGAGACCGCCAGCCCACCCTGTTCTACACGGGAGAAAAGGCACCTGTGGGAGGGCACCGGGGCTGCACCTGGGTGCAGGGTCCTCTGTAGCAACCAAGGAGGCTGAAGTGAGGGCCTGCAGATGGAGCCGAGGTCCCTATGGCCTCCAGAGAGCTTCGGCAGGTGGATCGTGAGTAAATATTTGAGGTGAGTGATATTCCAGGAGCCCTGCAGGGGCCCAGCCCTGCCCTTCACAGCGGTGACCTTGGTGACCTTGGGCCGATCACTTTAACTCCTTCCTGCCGGCTCACCCATCAGGGCAACCGCAGAGCTTTGTGAAGTGAAGTCGCCTCTGCTGATGTCTCCCTGCCTGTCCTGGGCCACGCCTCAAACACTACGGACACAAATCGCCCGGAGACCTTGCTAAAATAAAAGACTGCTTCAACGGGCCAAGATTGTGCACCTGTAACAAGTCCGCAGGTGGTGCGGATGCTGTGGTGATGCAGGGTCTGAGGAGGACAATTTCCCCTTGGACTGGGGCTGTTCCACATGCAGTCATGTTGAGAAGCATTTGGTTAAACCAGGTTAAATATGTTAAACATGCCCGTCACAGGGCTTACTCCGTGACTTCAGAGTGAATGAACCTCTCAAAAGACAAGTACACAGTTTCCCAAATTCATTTGGCTCTGGAAATCCCTTTCTAATTAAACTATTTTGTGATAATTGTAGATTTACATGCAGTGTTAAAAAACAATGCCACGTAGCGAGGATACTGACATCCATCCAGTGGAGGTGAAGGCCGCCTCCATCCGTGAGACCCTCCTGGGCCCCTCACAGATCGCACTCATGTTCCTCCAGCCTGTCCTTCTCAACACCCGGCAACCACGACTTCTCCAAGAACGCCACGTGAATGGAGTCAGACAGGATGTGGCCTTTTAGGGTCTGCATCTTTCACTCAGCACAGCCGTCCACGGGAATACCCCACACCTGGGTGTGTGAGCCACGCCCTCCTCACCTCCGAGTTGTGCTCCACGGAGGAGGCGCCACAGTCTGTTCCCGTTCACAGTTGAAGGACACCTGGGTCTTTCCCCATTCTAGTTATCATGAATAAAGGTGCTGTAAACATTAGCGTGGGCCTCTGCGTGAATACACGTTTCTATTTTTCTGGGGTAAATGCTGGGTCACACGGTAATTGCACCTTTAGTTTTGAAGGAACCCACAAGCTATTTTCTGGAGTGGCCAAGCCATTTTACATTCCCATCAGCGATGGCGAGCAGCTCCCCGCTCAGGATCCTCGCCAGGGTTTAGTGCTGCCATGGTCTTTTATTCAGGCCCTCCTGGCAGGTGTGCGGTGTTCCCATACGGTTTTAATTCACATTTCCCTAACGGTAGACGAACGCCTTTCCACGTGTTGCTTGCCATCTGTGCGTGCTCTTGGGTGACAGGTCTCTTCACGTCTTTTGACCGCGGTACAACTGGATTGTCTGCTTTCCTGTCATGAGTCTTGAGATTCTGTTGATACTAGATACTACTCTGCTGTCAGACACACGGTTTTCGAATATCCTCTCTCTCCCAGTGATAGCTTCCCTCTGCCTCCTTTCTATATGGGCTTTCATAGGGCAGAAGTTTTAAATTTTGTGGAATATAAATATTATGGATCATGTTTTTGATGTTGTCTAGCCCTAGATCTTGAAGATTTTCTCCCATCTTTTTCCTAAAAGTTTTACAGTTTTACAATTTACATTTACGTTCATATCCACTCTGAGTCAATTTTTGTATAAGGTTTAAGAAGTTAAGGCTCTTTTTCCTCCCCCTTTGGCCAATGGATGTCCAATTGCTTCAGCACTGTTTGTTGAAAAGGCTGTTTTTGCTTCATTGAATTCCTTTTGCGCTTTTGTCAGAAATCAGTTGCACATACTGCATGGGTCTACCTCTGGATCTTGTCTTCTGTTCCATTGATCCATGTGTCTCCCTCTGACCACAGCACACAATCTTGATTGCTGCAGATACATAATAAGCTTTGAGATTGGGTAGACTGAGTCCTCTCATTTTATTCTTGTTTTTCAAAAAATTTTTCAAAAATTGTTTTCAAAAAACCCTATGTTCAAAATATGCAAGAAAATATTTACTTATTTCAGTTCCTTTGCTTTTCTATATAAATTTTAAAATAATCTTGTATGTATCTACCAAAAACATCATGCTTGGATTTTGATAGAAATTATGTTACACCCATATATCAACTCGGTGAAACTGATCTCTTTGTTGAGTCTTCCAAGCTATAAACATGGTGTGCGTCTCTGTTTATTCAATCTCTAATTTCTTTCATCAATATTACATGGGTTTCAGCATGCAAATCCTGTACATGTTTTGTTAGATTAACACCTAAATATTCCTCTTGGTTTTGAGCAAGCATAAATGGCATTGTGTGTTTGTTTTTTTGAGATGGAGTTTTGCTCTTTTTGCCCAGGCTGGAGTGCAATGGTGCAATCTTGGCTCACCGCAACCTCTGCCCTCCAGGTTCAAGCGATTCTCCTGCCTCAGCCTCCTGAGTAGCTGGGATTACAGGCATGTACCACCATACCCAGCTGATTTTGTATTTTTAGTAGATATGGGGTTTCTCCATGTTGGTCAGGCTGGTCTCAAACTCCTGACCTCAGGTGATTCTCCTACCTTAGCCTCCCAAAGTGCTGGGATTACAGGCATGAGCCACTGTGCCCAGCCTGGCATTGTATTTTTAATTTTGGTATCCATACACCTATTGCTAGTATATAGATGTACAGTGAATTTTCACACCTTCATGTCATATCCTGAGACCTTTTTAAACTCACTTATGAGCTGTAGGAGTTTTGTTATGGATTCTTTGAGATTTTCTACATATGCACTCATGTTATCTGCAAATAAAGACAGTTTTCTTTCTTCCTTCCTGATATTCATGCTTTTTATTTCCTCTTCTTGTTCATTGCTCTAGCTAGAACTTCCAGTACAATGTTGGATAAGAATGAGGGAGACCTCTTCCCAGTGCTGCGGTAAAAAATTTCCATCTTTCACCATTTGGCACACTGTTGGCTGTGGGTTTTTTTCAATGTTTTTAATCAAGTTGAGTAGGCTTCTTTCTGCTCTTGGTTTGCTGAGAGCTTTTGACACATGGAAGCTGAATTTGATCAAATTCCTTTTCTTCACTGATTGATATGATCGTGTGTTTTTTTTTTCTTTCAGCCTGTTAATGTGGTGGATCACACTGATGGGGTTTCGAATACTGAGCCAGCCTTGCATTCCTGGAATACATCCCACTTGGCAAGGCATTTGCTTTTTATATTTTGTTGGATTCAATTTACCAATATTTTGTTTATGGTTTTTGCATCTATATTTATGAGGAATATTGATCTGTAGTTTTCTTTTTTTGTACTATTCTTGTCTAATTTTGGTATAAAGGTAACACTAGTCTCATGAGTTAGGAAACAGTTCCTCTTCTCCTATTTTCCAAAAGATGGTGAGAAATTCGTGTTAATTCTTTGTTAAACATTTGGTATAATCGTCCCATGAAATCATCTGGGCCTAGAGGTTTCTTTATTGGGAGATTTTAAATTATGAACTCAGTTTTCTTAAAAGTTACAGGCTATTTACATTATCTATTTGAAATTGGGTGAATTGTGATTTTTGATGAAGCAGTCCATTATCTAAGTTGTAAAGTTTATGCACATAGAATTGCATGTAGTATTTCCTTCCTTATCTTTTCGATGTTTGCAGGGTCTGTAATGATAGCCCCTGTTTTATTCCTGCCATCGATCACCTCAGA